CTCTTGGCTGGGTTTGCCCGAGCACCCCAGGCTGCCCCAAGCTGTGGGATACCCAGTGCAGGCACCTCCCCAAGGTCAAGCAGCTCCATCCATGGAGCTGTGCCACGACCAAGGCAGGAGGTGGATGGCAGCCCAAGAACACCCAGTGAACTCCATACCTGCCCATGGCAGCATTCAGCCCATCCTACCCCTGAGGGGCAACTGAGGGAAATGAGTTCCCCAGGTGCCTTCTCCAGGTGCTTGGGAGGAAGATGAGTAACAAACCCTGGCTGAGATTTTCCGATAGCCACAGTCAATAGCACGCACATCCCAGCTGCGGCAGAGGGCTTCAGTACCCCTTTATCAGCCTATTCTGCACCAGAAGGGGCATAAAAGGAGCAACCTCACATCTCAAGGAAAGGCTCAGGCTCTGAGCCCTCCTCCCACGCCGGGTTAGGGCCGCTTGGCTCCCTGTGGCTGGGGCTCAGCTCAGTGCAGCACAGCAAACCTGCCATTAGTCACTGGAGCCGCTGCCAAGCTTTGCCTGCAGCGCCCTTCCCTTGTTTTCCTGGCCTGCCTGCTCTTGTCTGTGGGCACAGGAAACCCAAGCTGACATCCAAGATAGCAAAGGGGTTTAGCAGCACGGAGATGCTTATCAGCATCCCACTGCACAGCATGAGGCGCCAGCAAAAACAATGGAAGCTGCTGCTGCATCTGCCCTCGTTACACACATATGAGAGGGGGAAACTCAGTGGTGCAGGGGTCTGGCCACAGCCATAAGGGCATCTTGCTCACATGCATGCTCTTCTGCTCTGCCTCAGGCTCTCACTTAGGGACAAGGTCAGTTTGTCACTTACCCACTCCCTTCACCCAGAACAAAGCCATCACAAGCCAGATCTATTTGCAGCCAGAAAGCCTGCAGATGGTTTCAGCCCAGCTCACTACCTTGTTTGGGAAACAAGGACCTTGGCCATCGCCATTCACCTTGATCTGGGTTTGAGGCAGCCAAAACCCAACTTTCACATGGCCAAATAACCCACAGGTACCCTCTCCCTTCCAGGGTTTGACAAGTATGGGCTTTTCTCCAACCCACAGTAAAGAGGGGCTACAAACCCCAGCAACTGTCTTCAGATTGTGGTGTAACACAGGCAAAGGCATCAACGTTTGACCCTGTGGCAATATCCCCTATCAGGAGCCTCCATCCTTCCTAAGAACTCCCCAGACTTCAGGAGGTGGGAGCCCCATACAAGCCCATCATTGGCCAGAAGTGTGAGTTGACATCAAGTGCCATGGGTCTCCATCAGACCCTCCCTGAGTTGAGCTCCGCAGGGGTCTGCAGCACCAAGAAAACCCTTGGGGAAGGTGAGCACCTTCCACCCGTGACTTCGATCAGGGCAGCAGCTCCGGCAGCAACGCACACACGCGGGCCTAATGCATTCAAATGGCAGGGGCTGAAGATGAGGAAAACTGGGGGCAACCAAGCAAAGGGTCAGGCCCTTAACCCAGGCACTGAGTTCAGGGTGTTGGGGAGAAGCAGATGATTCACTGAAGCACTGAACAGTCATCCTCATCCTAACAGTTCAGTGGGGTGTCATCTAAAACCAAACGCAAAGAAACATGGAAAAAGGAAGGAGGTGGTTGTATTTGCCAAACCAAAGGGGGTTTACCCGTGAAACAAAGGCTAAAGGACACATTTAGCTGTTTCCATGTGATAACATGTCCCTGAGGCACGCAGCTTCCCAGCAGGATGAAGAGCTCCTGCCTTTCTTTTCAAGGAATCACAAAGCTGAACCATCATGATCCCCCTTTGTTGGTGCTAAGGTGCTGGATCTCCTCTCCTGCCCTGTTGTGACTTCCAGGTATCACCTGCACATTGCTTGGAGCGACTGTCCTTGGACAAAAGACAAAGGAGAGCAGGATGTGGCTGGGATAACAGCGTCTGCTGGGAGCAGCACAGCCAAAGCTGCTTCGCTTGGGTGACTGGAGCCCAAAACCTGCTGGGATCCTAAAAACCCAAGTTGTGGCTTCACACCTTAACCCTCAACAACCTCCACCTGCTCCAAGGATCCAGCATCCACCAAGGAAAACACTTCTGAACCTTTCACCCATTAAACCCCTTATTCCTCATTAATACAAGCCAAGGTAAAGAAGAATTAAGAGCCTGATAGACAAGATCTGCTAGAGGGAACACCACGCACCACAGCACAGCATCCCTACATGTCAACCCATGGGGGAGATGGGCAGCAGCAGGGTTAGACTCACCCGCAGCTGCAGCACAGCCCATTGCCCCCTTCTTGTGCCACATCCTTATCTACTGCATGCAGCCAGCAATAAGGTAACTCCATCTCTTCAAAAGCCCCACTTTTCAGGACACCTTCCTCATCCTCACAAGGAAACAGCTGCCAGAACAGCACCAGCAGCTTCCAGGGAGCCTCAGTGACCAGGTTCTAGCAGAGACCCCCATCGCACGGGCAGCGCTGTGCCAGCATCAGTCCCACTCCAAGGGCAGCACAGGGCAGTGTGGCAGGTCAGGGTGCCACACATGAGCCAGTGACCATGGGGACAGCAGCAAGGGCCGGATCACACCCAAACCACCTGCAGTCACCCACCAGGGTAAAACACAGGGACAAGCCCCGTCTTGCTGGATTCCTGCGAGCCAATGGGAGCTGTCAGTGCATGCCCTGGTGCCAGCTGCCTCCTCAACCCTCGCTTCCCATCTCCATGCCAAGCAGTGTTATCCCCACTACTGGTCATTAAACACGGTCCCAGAGGGGGAATGTCTCACCTGGTGTTGTTACACCCACGTTATGGTGACGAATGAGCACAGAGCAGCCAGGCAGAGCCGAAGTGAGAGCAGAAACCAGCAGTGAGACGGAGCAAAGCCTGATCTAAGGCAAAGATCTGGTCTTAAATGCAGCTGGAGAGCTAATGGGGTGGAAGGGGTGTGGGAGGAGGCCGCAGATGGGGCTGATCAAACTGATCAGGACCCACCAGTGCAAGCAGGACCCTGATGCCCTTTGCAGGGAGAGGACTTGGGAGTGATGCTATGGGAACTGCTTGGGAAGCTCCTGATAAACCAGCACTTCCCCACCCTTGGCACAGCCCCATCCGCTCAGCACCAGCAGAGCTGCTCCGCAGGGGGTTTGCCAGGGTTGTTCAGATCCTGCCTCGGTCTCAGGCCAGGAATGTGTTTTGGGGTGCTCTGAGAGCTTGGTTTCTGCTGGGTCTGGTGGGGTTCAAGGGCAGCATCAGAGCAGGAGGTTAATTCAGCGTGGAACAGGAATAGCCCCCAGCTATCACTCTGCAATCCCACTGCTGAAACGTCACTTAGTTCCTCTTGCTTAAAACCCAAACCCAAACAGCAGCCAGCTTCCTCCCCAAGATTCAACCTGTGTCAGGCCATTCGCTAACCTGGATCTCTGGAGCAGATGCAATGAGCATTTCTCGAAGCTATTTGCAGTCTCTGGGGTATTTGTGCTTTGGTTTCCACATGATCTGCCCTAAAAGAGCTGCTGAGCTGGGGACCGGCTTATAGATCTCTAACATGCCAGTAAGGGCATGCAGAGAGCACAGGACCTACGGCCCTGGGCACAGCCTGACCCTTCAGGGCTACTGACAAGTGACATCCCAAAGACACAAGCCCATAGCATCAGGCTGTGCTGCAGCACTTGGGCCATTGCTTTAATGCTTTAATCAGAGCCAGATGTGGATTCTCTGCTGTCAGCTCAGTGGGTGACCTTGGAAAAGTCATCTGGGCTAGAACACAGCTGGGAGAGGATGGCAAAGCAAGCCAGGGGTTCAGGATGAAAAGGTACTTAAAAAGTCACTTATAAAGGTATTTACAAGAGATGTGCTTGGCTTTCCTCCCCCCAGCAGACCCCGGGTGACCCCAGAAAACGGTTTAAAACCACCCCTCTCCGTTTACAGTAAACATCTCCCTTGTGTGCATGCAGCTTACTTTACACATTCATAAACCCCATGTCCAGCACACGCCGGGCTGAGCTGGGCCGGCAGGAGGATGCTGCTGGGCAGCAGGACAGAGACCTAATGTACCATGAACGAGAAACTTTCCTCTCCATCTCCATCCCAAGCCACTGGCATTGCCTGGTCTCTGAGCACCCCTCCAAGCCCATCACTGGGGCAGGGGTCCTGTGTCCCTCCCCCCCCCCCCCCAGCCACACTTCTGTTTTCCCCACTGGAGCATCCCTCCTGGGTGGCTGTAACGGTGAACTGGGCCGCTCTTCTCCCCGTGGAGATACCCACCAAGCTGCAGGCCCTCACTGAGGATGGTATATGGACATCATCATCACCATTTTCAGGCTCATTATAAACCTCTTCCTCGGAAGTGAGCTACATAAATACCCCAGTCCCTTGTGTTTCTCAGCATAAAGAGCTGCTTGTCCCTGCGGGGAGCAGCATCCCGCAACCCTCATCCCAGGCCCCATCACAGCTGAGGGAAACTGAGGCATGGAAGAAGGAGGGAAAGACACCGTGTGAGCACCCCTGGTCTGCTGCCATAAACAACTACTAGGGCTGCTCCATCACAGCTCGGGAAACCCCAGGTCTTGGGGGTCGCTGGAGGAAGAAGAAACAGCATCCAGCCCTGAATGAGGGGGAATTACCACCAGTGACTGGCCAGGGAGAAAGACTTGGAACCAGCAGCGCGCTCCCCCGTGTCCTGTCCATGGCACCCCTGCACCCCGGGCGCCGCGTGGGCTGGTAGAGGGCAGCACCTTTGCACATCCATGCGCTCCCAGCGCAGCAGTGTTTGCAGTAGGCACCCAGGCGTGGTTATTGCAGTGAACTTCAGTCCCGTCCCCGACACCATCAACACGAGGCGGTCACATGCATGGGAAAACCGCGTCCCGCAGATGTCCCTGCTCCACCCCAGGAGCAGGCTTTGAGGACCACCGAGCCCATAGGAGCACTAAAACACACGCTCCCCCCCCACCCCGGCTGCCCCGTCCATCCGACGTGGTTACCCTGGGAAGGGTTAAAGCACGGTTCTGCGGCGCTGCTGGTGTTCCGTGTGGCACATCCGGCTGAGCCAGCGCTGGAGCCAGCTCCTTCCTTTACCTCTATGCAGGCAGCGGGGAGGCAGCGAGGAGCTCACCGTGCTCTTGGCACCCCAGCGCCAGGGTCCATCCAGGTTGGGCTGCCCCGGGGAAAGGGTGTCCTGCAGCCAGGGGCAGAAGGTGGATGAGAGCCGTGGGATGTGCGGCCCCGCTGGGGAGCCCTTCCATGGGAGCGGGCGTGCTTTGAGAGGTGTGGGGAGCCAGAAATGTGCTGGAGCAACGGAGCGGTGTGGGAACAGAGAGGAGCTGTGTGCTTCTGCCTTTTATTGCAGGTTCGCTGTTGCCGGGGAGAGGCTTTAGGCTGTCCTCCAGCTAATTCGCACCAGAGAGACAAGCGCTTGAATTAGCTGCATTATCTGCGCCCGGCTAAAGTGGACAAAGGATTAAAGTGTGCTGGGCACCAGCACCGTGATTTGCATCTCAGAGCCCCTTCCCACGGGCCCCCCTCCCCTGCTCCCAGCCTTGTTTTCTGTCCTTTGGGCTGGGAGCCAGCCCCAGAGCCCTGCTCACAGGAGTGATGCCGAGGTTAACATTGCAAAAGGCTGCATCAAGGCTTTCAGTGGCTACTGAAGCAGAAGTGCTGGCCCTGGGCTGCGCACACAGGGGATGAGCTGCCCGCGCAGCCACACGCTCGCCACCCTCCGCTTGACCCATCCTTGTCTCAACCCGAGGTATGGAACTTTCTGCCCCATGGCATATATGAACTAACGAGTAGAGTCAAACTGCTGCTCACCTTTAAAGCTGCACACAAAGCCCAGACGTGGCTATTTCTTCTAGGAAAAATCAGTATTGGAGAGCTAGATCAATATTGCACTATGCTCTGACCTTATGGGCATTCCTCTGAGCTCATCCAGCTGCCAAAGGTGGTTTTTCCTTATGCATGTTTATTCGTGTGGATGGGGAACGCTATTGCGATGCGTTTCGTGCAGCCAGCCTCAGAGAAATCAAGGCTGGGATGTCTCTGAAGAAGCTTTAACCAGAGGCAAAGCAAGATCCTCTCTGCGATCACCGCATCCTAATGAACTAATGGCTTTCAAACTGGTTTTTCCCCACTAGCACTGGGGGGGGGGGGTGCAGCCTCCCTGCCAGGTCCGCACCAGCCCTGCTGCCACACGCAGGCTTTATGTGGTTCTGTTGTTCTTGGCACCGGCGGGGTTTTTCCTCCTCTTCTGGGCACAGCACTGGGTGACCTTAGCCATTGCCAGCAAGGGGACTCCATATGATGAAAGCAGGTGAAAGGGAAAATAAGGGCGGGAATTAGGTAAGGCCGATTCATTCCTCCAAGGAGGTGTGGTCCTGCCCCGTACCTGCCTGTGGTCACAGGCTTGTGAAATATAAAAGGGGAAGGCAGTTGCTTCTGAAGCAATCCGTTGCCAGGATCCCGTGGCGAGAATGAAGGGAGGTGCTAGGAGAAATGCAGAGCAAGAGGTCTAAGGAGCCAGCCGCAAAGGTGTGGGACGCTCTGGTGCCTCCGAGCCTTGGGAATACCATCAGCTCTGCCCCGTAGGCCCCTAGGCTGGGCTGAGGGTTGCGTGGTAGCTGCCCTTCCTTCCCCAGCAGGCTGGCTTGGGAGGAGAAAGAAGCTGTCATGTCCCAAGGAGGAGCAGGGGAACGCAAAGCTGCCAAGCCCCAGGACCAGGGCTGGGCATGGATGGTGCTGCTGGCTGCGGTGGTGCTGCAGGGGATGACGCTGGGCTTCCCCCCCTGCATTGGCATCTTCTTCACGGACCTGCAGCGAGACTTCCAGGCCAGCAACAGTGAGACATCGTGGTTCCCATCCATCATGGTGGCTGTGCTGCACGGAGGCGGTAAGTGATGGGGATGCCCTCCACCACCTCAGTTTCCACAGATACCAGGCTCCCTTTTGCCACTCTAAGAGACACCCAAGCCCTTTGGTCAAAGGAGGTGAATCCCTTTCTCTCCCAGCTTTTTCACACCACCGAGAACTTAGTTGTTTCCCATAGCAGCTCTTTGAACAGGCCAGCAGGTAGCACTGAAGCTTGGGTGCCTCCTTGGTTCATCTCCCAACCGTGAGAACACATCTCTTATATTCCCCATGACAAGTGTGCTCTTGGTGGCTGACACACGCCTCAAGCCAAGCTCCTCCAGGCTGCTGGCTGAGCATTACACCAGCTCCCTGGGCGGTGGCATCGGGTGCACACCCAGGCAGGGTGGATGTGAGCTGGATTGATGCAGGATACAGGTCAGGAGGCAGCCTCTGGGTGAAGGGGGTGGAAGGAGGGTTGTGCCTTGTGCGTAGTGGAGGGAATCACTGGGTTTTCCCCCAGAGAAGATGTGGGAGGTGATGGGACATGCAATAAAACATCTATTGACCTCTTTTCTAATGAAGTAATTGTTCTGTAGGAGGCTGGGACCACACTAAAAGGTGCTATAAAGACAGCCAAGAAATAGATCTAAAAGTTATAACTTAGGCAAGGAAAGAACAGCCTCATGCTTATGACATCCAGGAACAGAATTTGCCAGGGCACAGCCAGTGAGTTACAAGAGTTACTACTTTGCTTGCCAGTTATGTCTCCTATTGCAGCAGGGAAGTGCTCATTCTTGTCCCCCAGGAGTAAGGCAGGAGTAGCACAACCAGGAGAAAACCAACAAAAACCAGACATAAAAGACTTCAATTTTGCTGCAGCTTCTCAGCTCCTTTGTGCTGGGCCAGGCTCTGCTTGGTTCAGGTTCCCCAGTTACATCCATCATCCTAAACCGCATTCTGCAGTGTCGACGGTGCCTCTTGAAGATGCTGCTCTCTTTTCTTCTCCTTTATTCTATGAGAGCTATGGAAGGGAGCAGGGAAGGACCCAGTGCAAACTATAACTCATCAGTTAGGAAGCCAAACCTATCTCATTAGGTAAAGGCAATTAATGGTTGTTTTGTTATAAGAATCATTTGAGAGACCTCAGGATCCTGTGGCCATCTCCAAAAGGGGAGTTCAGGCCCCACGGGTTCCTGCTCCTCGATATTCACACACACGCAACTCTCAACTCACACTCACACAAACACAGCGCTTCTGTTGCTATTATTTTTGCAAAGGAAAGCACAAAAGCCTCAGGCAAGTGAGAAAGAACGTTTGAAACCTGGGAAGCAAGTTAACAGGAATAAGTAATGAAAATCCCTTCTGCTTTTAGAGCCATTCTCATTGCTTTGGAACGTTCAATCCATGACTTAGAATCATAGAATCCCAGACTGGTTTGGGTTGGAAAGGAGCTTAAGATCATCAAGTTCCAACCCCCCTGCCATGGGCAGGGACACCTCACACTAAACCATCTCACCCAAGGCTTCGTCCAACCTGGCCTTGAACACTGCCAGGGATGGAGCATTCACAACCTCCCTGGGCAACCCATTCCAGTGCCTCACCACCCTCACAGTAAAGAACTTCTTCCTAATATCCAATCTAAACTTCCCCTGTTTAAGTTTGAACCCATTACCCCTTGTCCTATCACTACAGTCCCTAATGAAGAGTCCCTCCCCAGCATCCCTATAGGGCCCCTTCAGATACTGGAAGCTGCTATGAGGTCTCCACGCAGCCTTCTCTTCTCCAGCCTGAACAGCCCTAACTTCCTCAGCCTATCTCCATACAGGAGGTGCTCCAGCCCCTGATCATCCTCGTGGCCTCCTCTGGACTTGTTCCAACAGTTCCATGTCCTTTTTATGTTGAGGACACCAGAACTGCACACAGTGCTGCAAGTGAGGTCTCACGAGAGCAAAGTAGAGGGGCAGGATCACCTCCCATGACCTGCTGGTCACGCTCCTTTTGACTTCTGGCTACTGGGGCTGCTTAAACTGTAGAACCATCCTTGATGCCTTTAGCAGGAGGCAAATAACGCAGTCACCATTTGCTTCAAAGTCTGAGGTGGAAATCTCCCAAGCAGATCAAGATACAGGCAGCTGCTCTCCTCATTTTAATCACGTTCCCCTGCTCGCTCCATTATGTGGGCTCTATTTCAGACGTTGCTTTGGATCACAAATATGCCACGGGTTCTTTTCCCTGCACTTCCCGACTCCTAATTCTGAAACTCAGAGTCATTTGGCCTTTGCTCATATAACCTGAAGTGTTCAGAGGAGGGGAAAACCAACAAACCCTGGAAAAACCTGAACATCCTTAAAGGAACGGGAAAAAGAAACCCAGATCCTCCTCTCATGCAGGCAGAGCCTTGTTTCCCAGCAGTGGGCTGCAGGTCTGAGCTCACTTTTTCCTACCCTAAAACAAAGGATGCTCAATGACATTCACAACCTGGGAGTTTACCACACTCCCAGGGAATTCACCAAAACTCCATGAAAAGTAAAGAATTAACTGACCTTAAACACCCCCTCCCCATGGCTGTTTGTTGTTTTCCTGATGAAATAACACAGCTCTCTGCTATAAAGCCTGCCAGCAATGTCGGTGCACAACAGAACACAGGTTTGGGCTCAAGAAGGGCAGAGGGGGGCTCTGGTCCACTAGAACAACCCAGGTCTCACTCCCACCTCTGCACTGCTTGTGCTGGAGTAGAAGCAGGAAGCGGGATGCGCATGGTCTGCTCCTAGGCTTATCCTGTTGGAAGTGGACGCAGTGAAACCTCCCCACCATGCCAGGTATCCCAGGACAGGAACGAGCAAAGAGCTGTGGGACAATAACATGGGATTTCCCTGGAGAAGACGACCTGCAGGGCAGCTGCAGGACCCCACAAGCTGCAGCCTGGATGCTACTGCCCGGAGCTTAGATCAGTTCCCATGTGGGCATGAATACACCTCTCCAGTTGTACTCAAACGATCCTCCTCAGTGATGTCTGTTTTCTCCCATTCTTGCTCTAATTCAGGGTCAGTCTGTCTCCTCTTGCAAGGAGTTTCACCAAGGTAGCAGCGCAGCACAGGCAATGTAGGAGATTTTGTGGCAGGGTGTTTGAAACACACAGTGAAATGAGTGCAAGTGCACAAAAAGAAACATCATCCTGCTTAGCATCTCTTACTCGGAGGCATAGAAATCCAGTCCTTCCCTTTCTCAATTCATTCCCTGACTTTATATCATGCAAGAACAGAATTACACTTGAAAGTCCTTCTTCTCTTCCATTTCCAACCATTGTAACTGAAATTCAGCACAGGGAAGCTTAAAAATCCCACTTGATGGCCAAAAGCCAAGCAGATCACAGGAGCCTTCCCCATAGCAAGCAAGCCCTTGGGAGGATCAGGAAATACATATTCCCTCCCTGGCTCCCTTACTACTGCTAGGACAACCCTCAGGGTCTCTAGACCAAACCACCGGGATAAGTGCAGCAATCCAGCAGGTCCAGAGAGTTCCCTTCCTCCCTAACTGCTTCCCTTTTACTCTTTGGTGCCAGGGCCCCTCTGCAGCCTCCTGGTGAAGCGCTTTGGCTGCAGGTTCACGGTGATGCTGGGGGGCCTGCTCAGCGGCGTGGGCATGGTGTCCAGCTCCTTCTGCAGGTCCATCAGCCAGCTCTACATCACCGCTGGCTTCATCACGGGTAAGTACCACCGCAAACCCTGCTGCTGAGCTTGACCTGAGAGAGGGGAATGGCGATTCCCGACTCGTGTTTCCCATTCATCCAGGAAATGGGATAAATCGGGAGCAGCAGGAATCATAGAGCAGCCAGACTTGCCCTTCACACCCCTTCCACACGCACCTCATGCAGCCAAGCTCCCTGCAAAGTGCTTCTCTCTGGAGAAACCTTCAAGTCTCCAGCGGGCAAAACGGAGAGCAAGGATGCCTGGTCTGTTCAGTAGCACCTCAGCCTTTTGGCTGTGAAGAAGGGAGGGGGTTTTCAACCTTGGAATGTAATGTTGGGATAATGTGACCTATGATAACGTCCCTCCCAAGTTCCCTGGGCTTGTATTTCACCACTCCCAATCGGGGGCAATGTGCAGACATCTTTTCCTAACAAAAGAACATGTTGGTTTTGAACAGAAGCAACAGATGGGAGCTTCTCCTTTCCAAATATTTCTCCTCTGTGACTGATGTTCAACTCTTGGGGTTTTTCTAACACAAAGAGATCCATTTCTTCAGCCAGGCTGCTCTGGGACTAATCCCATTGGATCTTGCAAACTAAACGGTGTCCATTGCACAGAGAGAAAACCAGGTAACTCCCTGAGCCCTGATGGAAGTGTCAGGAAAGCAGTCAGTATAAACAGTTTCTAAGGAACAATTCCATGACAATTTTAGGAATAGCAGCCTGCCCCAGGCAAATGTCAGCTTGGGTCAGTTTACTTCGTATAGAACACAGGTAGTTTAATTTATGCAAAACATCACTTCTGTGGGGTTTGTGAGTGTGAATCACAGCGGGTCGTGAGGCTCACAGCCTGGTTTGGGTTGGAAGGGACCTTAAAGCTCATCCAGTTCCAGCACCTGCCACGGGCAGGGACACCTTCCACTAGAGCAGCTTGCTCCAAGCCCCTGTGTCCAACCTGGCCTTGAACACTGCCAGGGATGGGGCAGCCCCAGCTTCTCTGGGCACCCTGTGCCAGCGCCTCAGCGCCCTCACAGGGAAGAGCTTCTGCCTAAGAGCTCAGCTCAGTCTCCTGGCAGGTTCAAGCCATTCCCCTTGGCCTGTCTCACCTGTGTGTAAACCCTGGATTTAGGCTCTTTAAGGCAACACAGATGGATCATGTGCTGTCATTTGCTCTTTTATTCTTACCTTTAGGCCTGGGGTCGTGTTTCAGCTTCCAGGCAGGAGTGACTGCACTGGGATATTACTTTGTACGGTGGCGAACACTGGCCAATGCCATGGCATCCACTGGCGTCTCTCTGGGTTTCACTCTGTGGCCACTGCTTTCTCAATACCTGCTGGATGAGATGGGCTGGAGAAACACTTTCCTTATCTTTGGAGGAATACTATTGAACTGCTGTGTCTGCGGAGCCATCATGAGACCAGTTCAGCTCACTTCAGGGTCACTACTACAGTCGCCCCAGCCTGGAGAGGAGCTGAGGAGAAGAGCAGAAGAGACACAGCTGTCCAATGGAGCATCTTCTCCCCACCACGAGCTCCAGAAGCAAAGCAGAAGGACTGCATGCTTCCGTGTGCTGCAGAAGTACCTGGCTTTTGACATCTTCTGTCAAAACAAAGGTTACCAGATTTACACTATTGGCGTGACCTGGATGATGATGGGGTTTGCGTTACCCCACATCTACCTTGTGCCTTACGCCATCCAGAATGGGGTGGAGGAGCGCAGGGCAGCCCTCCTCATCTCTGTCATTGGGTTCATCAACATCTTCATACGGCCCTTCACGGGGCTGCTCTCGGGACACAGATTCTTCTCAGGGAGACGAATCTACCTGTTCAGCCTGGCCGTGCTCCTCTGCGGGCTGAGCAACTTCATCTGCGTGGTCTCGGCTGAGTTCAGCGTGCTCATCGTCTACTGCGTCATCCTCAGCATAGCCATGAGCGGCATCGGGGCACTCACCTTCCAGGTGCTGATGGACGTGGTGGAGATGGACCGGTTCTCGAGCGCTCTGGGGCTCTTCACCATCCTGGAGAGCATCACGCTCCTCATCGGACCCCCTCTCACAGGTGAGAGGCTGTTAAACAGGCTGGGTTGTTTAGACACCGGTGGGAAGTGTTTGGGAGCTTAAGAAGAGAAAGAAGGGAGATTCCAAACCCATGCAGGGAGGTGTTACGCAAAGGGAGTGGTATAAAAGGGAGAATTGGAGAGGAAGGATAAACCCTTTCTCAGAGCTGAAGGAGGGTCCTTTCTGGGGCTCCCCAAGTGTCACTGCAGCAGTTTGATAGGCACGGGTGTGACTGATAAGAGCTTTGTTCTAGTGAGCAGCAATACACAGAGAGGAGTTACTGTGGTAGGATCCTGCTGTCTCTGAACTCTTTCACTGCTTTGCCAGTTCGCACTGTTTCATCTGTGAAGTCTCAAGGACTTGTGCAGATCACATTAAACAAACAAACTCCTATCACAATTCACACCAGCCCTACACAACTCAAGAGCCGCACAGCAACAGCTTCCGTTCACTCTGCTTTCCAAGCTCTAGAGGGTATTAATTTTACTCTGGGGACAAGAAAGGAGCTAGATATGAACCCAAAGCCAATCAGTGATTCACAGATGTCACAGTTCACTCCTGCATGTACCTGCTCCCGCAGCACAGCAGCGAATCCAAAAGGCTAACAAACAAGAAACATAAACCTGAGCATGAAGCAGGCTTTAGTTGTGTTCTCCAGACAATGAGCTGTGTGCCACCCAGCAGGAAAGTACTGTCTGTTCTAAGGACAGATGATACCATGCACCATACTGCATGGTATTCCCTGGTGTTAGTGGGACAGCCACTTTTCTTAGGGGGCCAAAAAGATCTTTCCTTGACATCTCTCAAAGGAACGGCAGATGGGCAAAACAAAGGCCAGTAACAGCAGCACCAGTTCCATTTGTAGCCTGAAAATCTGCTAAGGAAAAGTGCACCAGGAAAAGAAACATCACCAATCTTTACTGAAGAATACAAGCAAGCAAACAGCAGTTGTTGTAATACATTCCAGTACTTCCATTTAAATAAGTAGCCTACAGAAAGCATCATCCGCTTGACCTGAGTATCACCTTTCTGTCTCCAACATTAGTGTAAAGTTACTCATTTGATATGTCTCACATTAAATGTTTTATACTGAAGGCACTTAATGTTAGGCATAATCCTTGCTGTGCTGTGAACGTTCTTCTCCCTGGTTACACACTAATAGAGGCTCTAACCCGTCCATTCGGGAGAGGTTTCTCTATTTACTTGTTCTGTTTTCTGACCTGGTATATAACAGGGTCCCTCGGTCCAAAATCCAGTGCTTGGCGCAGGGTCTTCTGCTGAGTGAACAAAATGAATCAGCACACTGGGGAAAACTCAGTTTCCTTTCTTCCCTTGGCTCCCCTGTGTGTTATGATATACCTGGTACGAAAGCAGAACCATCACTTGAGTCGTGACTATAAAACACAGCCAACCCCTGCGAGCTAGAGGAGAGAATTCACTCATCTGTGAATGCTCATCTTTCATATATGGCAGTTTGCTGACTGATTCAGGTTTAACATCTGTGCTAACGTCACCCTGTTGCCTTTGGTGTCCATCTTCTCTTTGACTAAGCTGTGGCTTCCATTTCAGGTCTCCTGGTAGATGTAACTAATGACTTCCACTACGTCTTCTACAACTCCAGCTTCTTCCTCATTTCGGCTGCGTTGTTCATGGCACTCACCTTCTGTGCTCTGGAGAAGAAAGCCAAATTGAAAGAGGCCTCCAAAGCCCCCGTGGATAATCCTTCCAGGTATCAGTACAGTGAAATGCCAACTGAATCACAGCCTGAGAGTCAGCCCCCTCCAGCAGTCGTGTACATCACAAGCATATGAAAAGCAAGAGGATAAATAAAGAGGAACACAAAGGATTATGTGGCCTGTACAAAGCTCCACACGGCCCAGCGCTGATGGCAGATGAGAAAACAAGTGGCTGCTTTCCACAACTGCCATCCCCCTTCTCTATGGGGCCGTGTCAGACTCCAAGTGAGTGCTCTGGACCACGGGCTGAGCCCAGAACCCAGCGCCAGCCAAAGAGATGAAGGACAAAGAGAACTGTGCTTCCCCAAAGCAAACCCTGGGATAACAGCCATGGTAACCAGCGCCGAGATACAAAAGCCGTGTCAGTTCAATTGGTGTAAGTCAGTGCCTTTAAGTCACTGGAATCTCACATGCACATTCCAGTGGGTAACACTGGATAATACGCATTGATGGCTATGCACAACGGTCATTCTTCCACAAAGAAGTATTATTGCCTCATCCGAACACATGATGTGGTGCAGAATATAGAGTTTCCTGGTTGCTTCCCATGTTGTGGGTGGCAGCTTCCCCAGGAAGGCTGTTGCTGTTTTCCACATCTCTAAATATTACATGGAAGCTGCTGCAGAACTCAGCCAAGCCTCTAGTAAGGGCAAATATTTTCTCCTACAAGGCACATACACAAGGGCTTCATGCCAAGGATGTTTCCAAAGCCTCCAAGGTTCAGCTCCAGAGCATCCAAAAGAAACAACCCAACCAACCTTAGAGCGCCTGCTCTGTGTAACCAGTGACATCTCGAGTGCTTCTTGATATACCAGAAAGAGGATTTGGGGCTGGTGTGTATACACTTCTTTTCAGGGTGAACTGGGACCCATTGCAGGGGGGGAGTGGTAGCAAAGGTGTCACTAGAACAAGTGTATGCATCCTTAGAGAGGGACAGATTCAAAGCCATTGCAGTAAGTGAATTTGTAGTGCACAAAGCCTTTGTGTAAATGAATTTAGCTTAGACTCATGACACCAGCATTCTCTATATTACAGAGTGCTTGCACAAGCGAAACTACATTTCTTGTAAGCACAAGCATAACTTACAAAGGAATCTGTTGGTAAAAGTATATTGGGAAAAGTCAATGTCACTGACTTCCATACCCATACAGCATCGACTGTAATAGCTCTTCTTGCTGCACTCCTGGGAATTATAACCGAGAGCTGCATCAGCCTCTAACCTCCCTCAGCACCAGCTTGGGTTGCACAATGTTTATGTTCTCTATCATTCCTTATCTGACAGGAACAGATAATACAATCACAAAATTGATTAGGTTGGAAAAGACCTTTAAGATCATTTGAGTCCAACTGTTAACCCAGCGCTGCCCAGTCCACCACTAAACCACATCTCTCAGTGCCACAGCTTTCAAATCCCTCCAGGGATGGTGGCTCCATCGCTGCCCTGGCAGCCTGTTCCAATGCTTAACAACCCTTTCCAACCTAAACCTCCCCTGGTGCAGCTTGAGGCCATTTCCTCTTGTCCCATCCCTTGTTCCCTGGGAGCAGAGCCCAGCTCCTCCTGGCTCCATCCTCCTGTCAGGCACTTGTAGGGAGCCATCAGGTCCCCCCTGAGCCTTCTCTTCTCCACACTGAACCCCCCAGGTCCCTCAGCCGTTCCCATCCCACTTGGGCTCCAGGCCCTGCACCAGCTCCATTCCCTTCTCTGGCCCCGCTCCAGCACCTCAATGTCTCTCTTGCAGTGAGGGGCCCAGAGCTGAACACAGGATTCGAGGTGCAGCTTCACCAGTGCCCAGTGCAGGGGCACAATCCCTGCCCTGGTCCTGCTGCCACACTGGTGCTGGTACAGGCCAGGGGGCTTCTTGGCTGCCTGTGCACACACTGCTCATACAGCTCACAAAGCACTGCGGATGAACACTGCTCAACACATCAGAACCAGCAGAGAGACAGAAGTGTAACACAGGGGTGAGATGGAAGAGGTATCAGCCCTTCAGAGGGGTTACTGCTCCCACCGCTCGGCATCCTCTTCAGTGCCACTCTGGGATTACTGAACCAGCAGGCTTTGCACTTCCTGATCAAACATATACTTACATAAAACAACCAGTGGGAGACCATACACATCTAATCTCTTGTCACATGTTTATTAACTTGTGTAATGCTTACATGGTCCGTAAGTGCAAAGCAAACAGCAACTGGTGCTTCTCAGCTTACGGAAACAATACCTGCTGTACATTCCTAGGACAAAGACAGGGCTTTCTTCCTTCCTCCCCAAAAGAGCAATGACAAGGGTGAAGTCCCAAACCTTTCCTGGCTATTGCAAATAAAAGAGCCACGCTGCTGAACAGATTGCTGCTCTCCTGTGTGTAATTCTTACGGTTTAAGTTCTGTTCACCTTTCTACACCCCCTGTTTTCTGCCAGAAATATGGGGTTATATTGTCCCACATCTCCTATGTCCTACAGATACCATGGGCAAAACAGGTAAAAGATGGTGTAAGCCCCAACCCATCAGTTTATCCCAGCAAAACAAAGGTTAGTTGGAGGCGCAACGGAACACATCTTTGTGGAGCCAACCACTCCATCTGCAATGCTTTAGTCCTAGAGCTGGTTCACAAGCAAGGAAATGTGTCGTCTAATGCATGCTTGTGAGATATAAGGAAGGAAAAGAAGTACTCACCCGCTGAAGCTGGCACACAGAGACCAGCTCCTCCTGCAGCACGGCCCAGAGATGTGCTCTCATTGTTTCCTAGCTGTGCGCAGCACTGGAGGATAATTTAGGATGGGAAGTTAGGAGAGTGCTTTGTAGATCCAACGCTCCCAGACTCAATACCGGGGTCACTGGGGTTTAGCTGCAGGTAAAGCAGGGATGTTTCTGGGAAGCAAACCAAAGGAAATCCACTACTGTAATGTTCTCAACTCGTTCACTGTAAACTTTCTACCGGCCTTACAGAACGTGAGCTGCCTCCAAAGAGGGCTGGTTCCATCCCACAGACCCTTTAGAAGTCATCCACAACCCACAGGGTGGGAATAAAGCTTGCAGAGGGAAGAGGGAACACTTGAGGCTGTGTTTCCACAGGCAAATCAGATGTCTGAGCTCCCACGATAGAGGAAATTACCCCCCTCCTCCATCTGCCCACCTCTCCTAGCTCCCTTTTCAACCTCAACTCCAAGCTGCCTTGAGCAGGAGCTTGTGAAGCATAACTGAAGGGACTGTGCATAACAAACATGCACACTAGAATAACAACTCCCCCTCAGAGCTATCACACAGGAGCAATAATGCTCAGTCCTTCAGAATCTCGAGGCCCAGAAGGAAAAGAAAGCAATAAAAGCTCCTTTCATTAGTTTAAGGTTGTCCCATTATGCAAAGCCAAAGCCCCCTGAAGCAGGGTTTGTTTAACACCTATAGACAGCAAAATAACCCCGGCACTAAGAATGGACAAGCACTTATACCTCAACCAGGTTATAAACCTCTGAGAACAACACAACTTGGCCAGAATTAAATGTCCCAAGCTCCCCACGTCCCCTCTTGCTCCCTTTATCATTTAAGGTATCATTAACCTTGCAAGGTAAGCATTTCTGCACCGAGCACCTTTCCTTACTGCAATGAAACATTCACCAGGAAGCTCACACCGAACTGGTGCAGGATCATGGTCCTTCAGAGCCAAAGTAGGGCTCGGAAAAGTTTAATACAAACCCAAAGGAAGGTCACGGTGAACTTACACGCTCTGAAACACCTCAGAAGGGCAAAAGCCCCGAAATGAAGAGCTTGGCATCCTGCCTGCAGACCTGGTTAGTGGCTGCAAGAAGGGAAACATAACTATTAGGAGCAGTAGTGCTTCTATTGAATCCTACCTTGCAGTGTCACTGTAGACCAGCCCCTGGAGCTATAGCAGTCATTCTGCACTAACTCTTCTGGCAAATAGCAAGTGCTTGGAGCACTCAGAGGATTAAACATAGAATAGAATCATAGAATGGTTTGGGTTGGAAAGGACCTTAAGATCATCCAGTTCCAACCCCCCTGCCATGGGCAGGGACACCTCACACTAAACCAGGGCACCCAAGTCTCTGTCCAACCTGGCCTTGAACACTGCCAGGGATGGAGCATTCACAACCTGCCTGGGCAACCCATTCCAGTGCCTCAGCACCCTCACAGGAAAGAATTTCCTCCTTATATCCAATCTAAACTTCCCCTGTTTAAGTTTTAACCCATTCCCCCTTGTCCTATCACTACAGTCCCTAATGAAGAGTCCCTCCCCAGCACCCCTATAGGCCCCCTTCAGACACTGGAAGGCTGCTATGAGGTCTCCACGCCCCTTCTCCAGCCTAAACAGTCCCAACTTTCTCAGCCTGTCTCCATACAGGACGTGTTCCAGTCCCTGATCATCCTTGTGGCCTCCTCTGGACTTGTTCCGGCAGTTCCATGTCCATTAGACATATGGGACAGTATTGGGTGAGTGAACGGCCAACTCCTGCTACTGCCAAGTGACCTGTCTGGATGATCTGGCCAGACTCCCCATAGTAAGTCAGCACAAAGACAAGCAGCACAGTGCCAGCAGCAGAGCAGGTTGGGTGGTGAGGACTAGCGTGGGCTGTTGGCTCTGCAGAGCCTCTGCTGTCAACCTCTCCTCCCGGAGGCAGCTGCGACACAGCAAAGGAAACATAAAGCATCCCTCCCATCTCCCAGCCACCCTTGGTGAGCCCCAGTGCCAGACAAAGGCTGGAAGGAGCTCAGCTCGCAGTCCCCAGGATGTTCCTCTCTCCTGGTTACCTCTTGCCATGCACTGAATAGTGTGACCTGGAGATTTGTCACCTGGAACAGACAGACACCAGCCTTTCCTAAGCACCACTGCCTGTGAAACCATGCCAGGGGACAAAGTTCCTCCTGTGCATGCAAAATAATCCTGACAGACACGAGTCATTGCATTTTCCTTCTTTAAACACAGGGTTTCACCCCTTATTAGTCAAGCCCAGCATCCTTAATCGCCTCTCTTTGTGCTGTGTTTGCTTTCTCTTCCCCTGCTTTCTCCCATTAGTCATTCGCTTTCCGTGTAATGACGGATGTGGCTCTAAAGTGTGTCAACACCTGCCACTTACACAGGCATACGTTAAGGGGTTGTTAATACACTAGCAGAGCATTCTGATATAGGAGTTGTCTGTAGCACCTTTGTGGCCGCTTTCATGTGTATATACACACACATACGAACACATGTATAGACATACCTATATATACACATACCTATATATATGTACACATATAGATATACACACATATATATACACACATATATAGACATACCTATATATACACATACCTATATATATGTACACATATAGATATACACACACACATATATATACACACATATATAGACATACCTATATATACACATACATGTATATACACACACAGATAGATATACACACACATATATATACACACATATATAGACATACCTATATATACACATGCATGTATATACACACACAGCTAGATATACACACACACATATATACACACATATATAGACATACCTATATATACCCATACATACATATATATATACACATACAGATAAATATACACACGGGCCTATAAGGATGCTGGGGAGGGACTCTTCATTAGGGACTGTAGTGATAGGACAAGGGGGAATGGGTTCAAACTTAAACAGGGGAAGTTTACACTAAATATAAGGAAGAAGTTCTTTACAGTGAGGGTGGTGAGGCACTGGAATGGGTTGCCCAGGGAGGTTGTGAATGCTCCATCCCTGGCAGTGTTCAAGGCCAGGCTGGACAGAGCCTTGGGTGCCCTAGTTTAGTGTGAGGTGTCCCTGCCCATGGCAGGGGGGTTGGAACTGGATGATCTTAAGCTCCTTTCCAACCCAAACCATTCTATGATTCTATATGCATATATATATATATACACACACACACACACATATATATATATATACACACACACCAACTTGAGAGAGTTGAAGTTGCTTGCACAGGCCTGGCTTAAATCTTTATACCAGTTATAAATAAACACCTTCCTTTTCCCATTCTCTGCCTTCCCACAGCACTGCAGTGTTACAAGCTTTAGCAACCCTGCACTCACCGTAGGTCCTCTGCTCATCCTTCTATTGCACATGGGCATGGGTGACTGCACCCAGCTGTATAACAGGGGATTAGCAGCCCAACACACTCGCCACGGGCGCCACGTAATCAGTGTATTCTGCCAGCTTCAATTTGCTTCCTATGAGATAACACAAAAGACAACCTGTTCCCTCCTTATCTGCCCAAGAACCTCCATGTGTTTAACTGCTCCAATAAAAGCAGCACTGATTTCTGCTGAGTTTGGGTACCTTTACCTTACCTATTTATAGCACATGAACCACACGAATCCACTCGCGGCGCCTGCAATCACAGCGGCGTCACTGGCGCTGGCCTGGCTCAGGCTCATGGAACCGCTCTGCTCCGTGCCTAGACCAGGGCATTGCACAACCAGGATGGCGTTACCCGCTGCTGCCTTCATTCATTCCTTGCCTCCGGATTTCTTTCCCTTTGGTGTATCCTATGGTGCACAGGGAAGTTTAGTGGATGGGGAACAGTGAGGGAGGCAAGGTTAAGCTGCTTACCGGAGCAGGGCGTTTAAACAGCAGGGCTTGGCCGTACACCGAGATACAAGAACCTCGGGCACGCTTGTTTATTGTGATGGTGAACAGGTTACAGGGTCCATGGGGAAAGAGAGGAGGGAAAGGGGGGAAGGAATGGGGGGAAAGGGAAAAAAGGAAAAAAAAGTTGGAAAAGAGGGAAAAAGAAATATAGGGGGAAAAGAAGAAGAGGGAAAAAGGGAAAGGAGAAAAGGGAAAGGGAAAAGAGGAAAAATGGGAAAATGGAAGAAAAAAGGAGAAAAAGGGGGGAAAGGAGAAAGAGGGAAAAAGAAATACAGAGAAAAAATGGGGAAAGGGGAAAAAATGAACAGAGGGGAAGAAAGGAAAGAGAAGGGAAAGAAAGAGAAGGGGGAGAGAAGGGAAGAGAAAGAGAAAGGAAGAGAAAAGAGAAAGGAAGAGAAAAGAAAAAAGAGAAGAGGAAGAGGAAGAGAAGAGAAAGAGAAGAGAAAGGAAGAGAAAGGAAGAGAAAGAGAAAGAGAAGGAAAAGAGAAGGAAAAAAGAAGGGAAAAAAAAAGGAAAAAGAAGGAAAAAGAAGGAAAAAAAAGGAAAAGAAGGGAAAAAGAAGGAAGGGAAAAAGAAGGGGAAAAGAAGGGAAAGAGAAGGGAAAGGAACGCAGGAGGAGCCTCCTCTCCCCGCCCCCAAGATGGCGGCGGCCGCGCCGGGCCTGGCTCGGTGCTGAGGAGGCCCCTCCGCACCCGGCTCGGCTCCACGCCGCTGCCCGGCCCTGAGCACGGCCCTCCCGGCGCTCAGGGGAAGGCTCTCCCGGGCACCGTGAGCTGCCGGGACCCGGCGCGGGATGGAGCTGGGCCGGCTGGAGTACCTGCAGGCCCTGGTCACCGAGTTCCAGGCGACGGAGAGCGCAGGTACCGCGGCCGCGGCCGCCCCGCAGCCCCGTGCGGAGCCGCCCCGCGCTCAGCGCCGTTTCCGTGTTGCAGAGGCCAAGGAGCAGGTGCTGGCCAACCTGGCCAACTTCGCCTACGACCCTCGCAACTACGAGCACCTGCGGCGGCTCCAGGTCCTGGACCTGTTCCTCGACATGCTCGGCGAGAGCAGCGACACCCTCGTGGAGTTCGCCATGGGTGAGGGACGGGGCCAGCAGCATCCCCGAGAGGGGCAGGGCACAGCGGGGGTGATGCTGGGGACTGGGGCTCCTGTCCCTCCCGAGGGGCAGAGAGGAGCGTGAGGCGTGAACGGCCCCTCGGGTACTGCCGGGTTTGGTGGGGATGAGCGGAATGGGATGGAAGCATCGCCCCTTCATCCTCGTAGGGCTGCTGTGCGGCAGGATGGGTTCGTTAGCCCCGAACACCGGGTGAGTGAGTGTTTACTGAAACTGCTCTCAATTTTAGTGACATTTTAGTGAATTTCAGTGAAATTTTAGTGAATTTTAATGACATTTTAGTGAAATTGGTGACAACCAAATTCCAGCACTTACCTGAAATCTTGTAATAAGTCCTCTAAGCAACTGCCTTACACTGACTCAGTGTGGTCCAAACAGAAACTAAAGGGCCAGATCCTGATTGTGAGTGCTGCCATGAGCTGACATTAAATATATCTGATGTTTAAGGTTTGTGGCTGAGCTACACCGGGACATGGCTGCCTCTTAAAAAGCCACGTTCGAGCATTCTGCACCTCTTGCCTTGTGCTGTTGCCTCCATTCTGTTTTCCCGTAACACCTGCAGTGAACTCCAGGCTTTAGCCTCTGTTAGGGTTAAGTAATCCTGGAGTTCTGCGGCAGAGGTTATGCCCAGCAGTAACAGTGCCCTCTAATGACATAAAGGAGAAGGAACGTTCTGCTGGAAAACGCGTGGAAAACGTTGCCCAGGAGCCGTTAAGAGTTTTCCATCCAAACCTCACAGAGAATCTGGATTCTTATTCCTGTGTTAGAAACCAGGCTCATCAATGAACCTGCATCACAGCATGAAAAGCTGAAGGGGTGAAGCGCTTGTCTTGCACGTGTCAGATGCTTTCTCTTGGTGTTGCAGGGGGTCTGTGTAACCTGTGCCTGGATAAAACGAACAAAGACTACATCCTGGAGGCGAACGGGGTAGAGCCCATCATCAACTGCCTCTCCAGTGCCAACGAGGAGACCGTCATGTCGGCGGTCACGACGCTCATGTACCTGACGACACCGCAGTCGCGGCAGCAGACCACGGCGCTGCCCGTGGTGGAGTGCATGCTCCGCTTCTCCCTCTCGGCCAGCAGAAGGCTGAGCAACCTGGCCACCGTGTTCCTGCAGGATTACTGCACCCCTCTGCAGGTGGAGGAGGCCCGGAGCCTGAGCAAACACACTGCCGTGGGCATTCCTCTCCCCAAGGACTGATCCTGTGTAGGCAGGACAGTGCAGATCATAGCATCAGCCAGGCTGGAAGAGACCTTTCAGCTCAGCCAGTCTACCCATTCCCCAGCACTGCCCAGGCCACCACTAACCCATGGCCCTGAGGGCTTCGTCTGCATGGTTTTTTGAGGGTGATTCCACCACTTTCTTGGGGAAAAAAGAGGGAGACACTTTCTGCTCAGCACAATTGTGTCAAGAACATTAAAGAGTGAAACTGGTCACAGTAGCACTGGATTTAGTTACTAAAGAGGATGGATAGTACTGCCCCGACAGGGCGGCCAAGCACACAGCTAAAACGGAAAGCAAATACTTATAATAGCACAGGTCATGGCCGTTGGAGAGCAGGGTGCCATGTGCAGCCCAGCACCCAGCCTGCACAAAGAACCCTTCCCAGCAATGAGGGGGGGGGGTTCTGCTTGGGTTACTGGGTGCCTTATATCCCAGTTCCTGCCTGGTGGGGCTGCAGCTCTCCAGTGTCAACTCAAAGGACTTTAAATGTCTCATAAACGTTGTTCCTCCTGCAGAAGAAAGGTGTTTCCCTGCCCTGGCAGTTTGTAATCTGTATGCCTGCCTTTGGTAGTAACTGTGCCATCTGTCATCGTGACACAGACTGGTAAATCACTACACGGGACAGTGTGTATCCTGTAAATGGGGAAGTGAAAAGCTGATTTTCTTTCATTACCACTGGTGAGAAAGGAGAAGATTAAAAGGAGGGCCCATGGCAGCCTGGCTCATGAGAGCAGCTGTCTTGTAAAACCTTCTCCTAATAAAACATTAACTTCAACGCTGTGTAAACAGTGTGGTATAAGCTCATAAATACGCCTCTCCAGCACTTGCAGCCCAGCCTTCGCCCACTCTTACTCACGCACATGGGCCAGAAATGGAAGCCAGCTTCGTGTCCTTTCTTCATCAGCCAGCGCTGCAAAAGGTAACCCGAAAGCCAGGGTGGCTAAATCCGTAACATCAGCAGGCTCTGGCTGTTGCAGTGTTCGCTGATGGGCATCCTTGCTGTGTCTGCTCAAGTTTCAGAGCTTCGTCTTTTTAGTTCCATTCCACCCCCAATGGGCCCAAACCAAACAGGACTGAGGTTAAGAACACACACACACAAATACAACCCACAGCTGCTTGTATTTTATCGTTTCACCAGCAGCAAACACCCCAAACCCTACAGACATAACTGCAGAGCAATCTTCCAGACACGTGGAGCAGCAGCAGCAGCAGCTCTGCAGCGTGTCTAACAAAGGCAGCTCTTGTTATAACTGCTCCCCGAGTGCCTCTGCCTGGATGAGGGCGCTCACTGCCTCCTGGGAATGGGATTCCCTGCCCATGGATGCGTTCCTGGCAGTGGGAAGAGCACCCCCTCTGTGCACTACTGCCTGCGCTTGCTTTCCAAGATGCCCTTCCAGTCATCCGCCCAGGACAGCAGGCGCCTGCGTGGGGCCTGCAGCTGGATGTGCCTGTTGTGGCAGCAGGTAAAGAGGATGTGCTCCCAGCTCGGGTTCGGCTCTGCGCCTGTGGGCAACGGAGGAGAGCTGGGCTCAGGCAGGGGTTTCCTTCCTGGCTAACAGCAATGGAAGCGCTTTCCTAACCTGTAATGGTGTCCTTGTCGTCAAACAGCAAGTCCGCAGACACGACGGTCTTATCTCGGGTTAGAATAATCCGCTCCACAAACTCGGGTCCCAGGTGTTTCTCTACCCACTTATACTGCAGAGGTAAGAAATGAGAGAAGACGCTGCTGTGCTCCAGTCACATCAGCCCCAGAAGAGCAGCTTCTCCCCTGCAGACCGACATCTGTGTCCGTGAATCCTCACCGCAGAGACTGGCCATGGCCCAGGACACTGATTCAACCTGTTTTCTATCAGCAGCACTGGCCTTCCCATACCTAATCACTATCGAGTTTGCAAGCAGCACTGGCTGCTCACCAGAGCACGTGGGCTGTGCCCATCCAAGTCATTCCAGTGATTAAGGTCCCCCTCTCTGTTCTAATGCAGCGGCAAACAGGACCAATTCCAATGCTGAAGCCTCCTCTTAACTCAGCACTGGCCTCCTTCAGGACATGGGGTGTCTCAGGCTCTGCATTTAGACAGAATAAGGACTGAGGCTGGGTAGAGGATTCTCCAGTGTGGAATCCCCTGGGAATATCCCACCCCTAGGGGCCATTCTACAAGGGTTCTTCCGCTATCACCTGCCAGCACAGCTGGAGCAGCAGGCTCACATCATGCCAGCTCTGAGAGCACAGGGCGCACGTGCCCCACAGTAAGGACACTGGCACCATGTGGCACTCCGAGATTCCTGTGCTACCGTCCTGTGGCTGGGAAGCTGCCCCTCAGACAGAGAGATCCAGGGAAGCCTGGGAGCCTGAGCCAGCCACTGCCTTTGTAAATGAATTATTCTGACTTGGGCGATGCCTTGCAAAAGCAACAAAATAAACCCCACTAAACCAAGTTCTCTCCCACCTTTTCCAGGACGCAGTGCTCGTAATTCCGGAGAGGACTTGTGCAAATAAAGACTTCAGTGCTGAAAAGAAACAGCATTATTTATTATACAGTATACATTCCTTAGCAGGCAGGGGAAGGTGCATAAGATAATGGAAAAGGGCTACGGAGTGCAAAGCATCCTTACTCCTGCATGCGGATCATCTCCTGCAGAGCTTCCAGGGCTCCTGGAATGGGATCCAACCCTAGAAAGAAGCCAGGTGATTCATAGACACTGGCTACCTTAGCCTGCAAGAGACAGGAGGACAGTCAGCAAAGCCCACCCGTGCCTGCGTCCGAGCTCTGAGCATCACAGTTGTCCCCTTACCCCGGGTGTAACAGCCATCAAAGGGCAGTGATGCTGCACAACAAGAGGCCATTATAGCATTTCTCACCTTCCGGGTTCCGGCTCAGGCACACAAGAAGGAGAAGTTCCTCTCTGGTGGCTTGTCTGGAGTGAGGAGGCAGAGCTGGTCCTGACCTTGCACAGCACCACAGACCCAGCTCTGACCTACAGCTCAGCTGGCTGATGCCTGGTACAGGGGAGCTCACGGCTCACCCCTTCCCAGCAGGTCTCTACTGCCTCTTGTGAGGCATCAAAGGAACCAGTTCAAGGCTCCTGCTCCTCTGTCCCATCTGACTGGAATGTGCTGGTGGCTCGGGAATCTGCCAGGGCTGAGTGGGCAGCAGCCACATCCCAGCAGCGTGAAAAGGGCTGAATCCAGACCTAAGCTTCATTCTCAAACAGAGAACCCTAAAACATGTGAATCTCGCCTTCCCTGGGGTCACGGTGAGCTCCAGTGGTGTCAAGGCAGCATTTTCCATTAGCTTCAAGTCAGACATTCCCCCAGTTTGGAAATCTTAGTTCTCTGTGAGTATTCAACCTGGCAGCTTCGCTTAGGAACTGTACCAGACTGCTTTATAGTCCAGCTGATGGGCTCCTTGCTCTATTTCACCAGTGGAGCGTAGACATAAAGCCCATTTCAATTAAGCAGCAATGAGGAGTCAGCATTAAACAAGTCTCCTGGACCAGGGTGCTCCCTCAGCTATCATAATTTACCACTACTCATAACTCAACAGGCAGACATGTGAAAGCGCTGCCTGATTCCTCATGCAGAGCAGAAGAGCGAAGGTGAAGACGTGGGGATCAGACCTGCTCCGATCCCTGCTTCCAGGCAGGGCCTCATTGATTTCAGCAACAATTCCCTGGAGCTCTTCCCGAGGAGACTCAATTACAGGACCAGGGCTTGTATCTGAAAGCTCTTTTACACACCGCAAGGCACCAGAAACGGGCCAGTTTCCAGTGTGTCACCAGCAAGTCTGGCTTTGCTGGAGAACAAAACTGGAACTGATGAATTTTAGAACCAAAAAACTGTTTTACCCACCCAAAAATGCGACAACTCTTTCTCATGCCATCGTTGCTGAAGGTTTCCTCCTAACAGAGCGATGCTCTGCAGGGATGCTCCTGCACCAGCCTGGCAGAACTGAGGTCTCTATTTACAGCCACAGGATTCACATAAAGGAGCTTTAAAACTGTATAGTTGTGCCAAATGCACCTAAACCAGCCCAGAGATGCGGAGGTGACTGAAGGAGCCGGACACCACCACATACACCTCATTTCCTTAGGAAGGCAGGTAAGAGCTTTGTGCCACTGCTGATCTGCATGGGATTCAAACCAGCTACGTGGTTATTGCATTGACACACCTAAAGGTCTGGGAAGGAACAGGATGAGCATGAACCAAATTAGGGAATGGGAATGCCAGAAATAGAACAGGATGTGCCTTTCAGGACAGATCAGATTGTAGCCCTTCCAGACAAGAGCAAATAAAAAGCCACGATCCCTTAAATTACCTGCCTCTTTTTTGGGTCCCTGCAATGGGATTCACTTAAGGAATCCTTACGTAAGCAATAAATCACGTTTGGTTCTATAAAGGATAAACAATTCATGCCCATTCCCCATCTATACAAATTCCAGGTACAGGAAGTTTTGAGCATCAATAGTCATCCATTAGAGCTCGGTCACTTTGGAGCCAGCACTCCTGTGGGTGCAGGGGCCTGAACCTTGCCATGGAACGGGAAGGAATTGATTGTGAGTTGTCATTTTTCAGCAGTAAAAAAACCTCTAGAGGCCCAGGACAGCATCTTAAAATGAGCAATGAAAGCACAGCCTGGATCTGCAGCCTGGATCCGCATCTGTTCCATCTTCTTACGGTCCCCGAGTGTCCTGAGGTACCCAGAAGGAAGCCTGAAGTCTGCATTCACACTACCTTTAACTTTGCCTTGCAAATGTCTCTGATGTTCACTCACTCATTAGCAAACACTCAAAACAGAAACCACTTGCAGGGATGGAGGCGTACCAGAGCATTTTACATGGCTCTCCATGGTTTAAATACCACACACTTTGCTTGTCAGAGGGCATGATCTAGGTGTGGGGTTTCATTAGCTATGCAAACACATAGAGAGTATTCCTGTTTCTCATCCTGCTAGAGGTGCATTAGTACTTACAGAGCGCTCAGCTTTCAGTTATTACTCACCTTATTATTATCTTAATAATGTTAATATTACTTTTTAATAATACTAATATTATTAAGTTATTACTGCATACCACCGAGGGGTTCACGAGTAGATACAGAACAAGCCGATGCCTCAGCAAACAGCTTCGTGCAGTTACTTCGAAGAGAGAATCGGGCTTTGCCAACCGATTCCCGCACGCACATCCCTGTGAAGGGCAGGAAATCCTCCTGGAAGAACTCGCTAATTATTTCCATGCAAATGAAGGCAGAAACAACCCTTTGTAGCACTGTGACAGCCCCCCCCCCCCCCTCTACTTTGCATACCCACAGTGGGTAGGAAGAGATTCCCTCTGCTCTCAGCAGGATACAAGGGAAGAGGCGCTGCTTCCCCCGCCCGCCACTCACCGCCAGGTCCGGGCGCAGGCCGCGGTACTGCTCCCGCACCGAGAAGCCGCTCCTTGCCGCCAGCTCCACTCGTGGCTCCGCGGGGAAGCGGGCGCTGAAGCCCCGCAGCACCGCGCCCTCGAAGTCGGCCACGACGCCGTCCATGTCCACCAGCACCCGCAGCGCGCCGGCCATGGCGCCCCGTGGTACCCAGCGAGAGCCGTGCGGGGCGGCGCGGCCCGAATATGCATGAGCAATGGGGCGGGGAAGGCGCGCATTAAGGGAGCCCCTGGCCCCGCACCGGTGTCTGGGGTTGCTCGCTGAGGGTGCAAAGCAGAGCGAGAGCCGCTCCGGGCTTCTCGGCCCCCATTGCCAGGCTCCAACCGAGACAAAGAGGGCAGCGGATGGAGGAGCAGCCCCGCTCGGCTGAAGGCTCAGCAACTGTTCAAAGGAGCGTTAACGCGTTCTGCGGGTTGTGGGGCTCGCAGAGGAAATGGGGTTTGGTTGTTTTCCTCCTCCCACGGCAGAAAACAAGGGGGCACGATTTACATTGGGAGCCACACCGCGTTTAAGCAGCCCCGAGGCACAGCACCCCCAGCTGCAGCAGGGGAGGAGCAGGTTAGAGCAAATCCGGTTTTATAGGTTAAGCACCCATGGCTGGGCCTTCCCAGGAAGTGAACGTGAAAGCCAGGGTATTTTTAAGCACTGGTTCTTCACGGGGAAGGGTGGAAATGGAGCACACACACCAGCTCTGTGCAGATCCACTGCTTTGGCTTATTGTGCAGCAGATCCCCTTCCAGGACAACAGAGACCTCCATGGCTTGGTCTCCCCTCCCCTGTTAGGGTCTAATTTTCATGGTGAGAATAAACTTCCCGCTATTTTCTTGATAGAAGCAAGCATTTGGATAAAGCAGGTTACAGAGAACACGCCATACCCCACACTTCTCTGACCTAGAAGATAGAGGCAAGTCAGACACAGTCTTTAGAGGAAGATGGCAACTCCAAAGGAGGTACACAAACACTCCTCCTCCGCTGCATCCCACCTCTGTCAGAGGCTGAGCCAAGGCCAACTGAGACCAGAGTTGAAATAAAACCCACACAGGAAACACTGCTTCAAAACTTCTATATTATTTACTCGTAAGCAACAGTCCAGCTTTGTGAGATAACAACACACACTTGAAAGGATGAGTTTTTTTTCCACCTCATGGTCAAGCACCAGCATGATCATGCACAGCATTGAGTCAGTTGTAAAAAAAAAAAGGCCCTGTCATTTGTATTGATTTCACTGATCCACTCCACTTCACTGAATCAAGTCTGAATTCCCCTCCTAGCATCAGGCCAGGCGGCTCTGCTCGTCAGCCCTATTTGGCACATACCCTGCTTCATAGTAGTCCAGTATCAAGTGTTTGATTCTATAGTATATTTTAAAGGCAGCACGGTGTACACTAACCACTTCAGGGTTCATATGGCACAGCAGGGCTCAAGGCATTTAACCCCATGCAGTCAATGAAGCCCTTTAGGGTCCCCAAATCCTGCATGTGGAGGAAGGGACTGCTCTTGCTGATTGGTTGCTGGCCTCTTTAACCAGGATTCTAGACCCTTGTAAAGCTAAAGGGGTTCTAAAAAAACCTCGGTACAAAAACCCTCTAAGCACACTTGGAACCAATCTACTCTCCTTTGAGTTACAATGACAATACTTCATAAAGCTTTCCCTCAAGTCTATCACTAGAAAACACTCATGTCACTTCCAGTAGATCTGGGGAGGGGAAAACACAGGACAGAAGTGGGGAGAAAATAAAACCAACCCTTGATCTCAACAAAAGATGGGAGTACATAAAGTGCTTCTTTTTAATGAAAGGAATTGGAGATGTACAGTCAGGCTCAAGTTGTGCAGTTCACAAGCATGGGGGGGGGGTGGGGGGTGGAGAAAGAAACAAGACACGAGTTCAAAACAGTCAGGAAGGGAAAGGTTTAACCGAGGACTAGGCTGGACTTGCCACCGGGTGGATTTCTCCTGGATGGTGCTGGTGCTACTGGGCTAGGAACAGGTGCAGCAGGCAGGGATTTCTCTTCACTCTGACCTGGGGCAGCTTCTACATCAGCCTCAGTGATTTCTAGAAGAAAAGAAGCTTTTAAAGTGTCTGATGTGGATGATGAAACCATGGTTCGTGACTTAGACAGAAGATCAACTCCTCTAAGTCTGCTTCAGGCTGACACACAGAGCGCTGCTGGAACCTGCTGGCAGGACAGGCTGCAGCCCTCTGAAGTGTTTCAGATGTACTCTGATGCCTTAAGGTTCGGCTTCAGGCATTCAAGAGCCACATTCAGACGGCTGCTATTAAGGAACCCATCAATTTTTCATATATATATATTTTAAAGACAAGCAGCTTAAGTCTTGTCCATGTTATTAGTGTATGACTGTGCCAATTGTAACCCAAATCCGAGCAGGTGCTGGAAACCAAGTCACGGAGGCACCAGGACTTGGAAGCAAGAGCTCAAACTACATTCCCAATATCATGAACTAGAGGGAAGAGCATCTGCCACACACTTCTGAGGTGTCACAGAGACAGACCAGGGAACAGCCATGCATGGGGAGGCTCCAGTTGTACACCCCCTGGGAAGCACACAATAGCTTTAATCTATCTAAATACTTCTGAACGACCACAGGTGAAGACAGGACACAGGAGGAATCTTCATAGGAAGCACTTTAGATACTGTAGCAAGTAACTAATGGATCTGCTCCACTGACAATTCATTAAGGAGCACATCAAACACATCACCAGCTCATGTTTTCATAAATGAACACAATCAGGTATGAGCCAAAGGCCCAAATCAGCACCAAGCAGCCCCTGATACTCGGGGGGAATGAAGGGAATGCAGTTTCACCATCAGCTCTGTCAAGATGAATTTAAGAGACCCCTTTTAGTTTCAACGTATCACTAGTTCTTGGTTTGGAGGATTCACCTTCACGATTCAGTAAATCTTGATCCTATTCCCTCTCCCTTTTGCAACTGAAGCCATTTTAGTCTCCTCTTACAAAAGCAGCTGCTGCATCCCTTTACATTTCCCCTTACATTCCTCTGCCCCTTTTTTACCTCCGCTCCACTCTGCTCTTTACACGTCCAGAACTGCACACATGATTCAAGACGTGGGTATATCATTGTTTACAGAGGCATAACGACAGCTTGTTCCCCATCCTCTCCTTGAGAGCATTTCAGAGTGTCACAGAAGTTCAGGAACAGGACTCAAGGCAGATCCTGGGAGTTAACTGCTGCAGAGCTGAACCCAAGGCTGGCATCATTTAGGTGTTGGGCGCTCTCCCCCCCCCCATGCATTACTTTATACTTACTTACACAAAAACTATCCTGCCACCTTTTAAACTACCTGCCTTATTGAGTTGAGTTCTCCTGACAGTGAGATTTTCTCACCGTCAGCACAATTTGGCTACTTGAAAGAACTCATGTCACCAACAGGATTGGAGACTTCACAGTTCATTACCTTTTCCAGGTCACAGAAGAAGGCACTGAATAAAACCAGCCCCAGCATCACTTCCCATGGCTCATTTTTCCAACATGAAAAGGAATCACTAAGCCCTACCCTTTGCTCCCTAAGCTTTAGCTGCCTTCCTATCTAAAGGAGCCATTTTCCTCCAATCCTAAGGCATCTCTGATGCAGAATTTTACCAGCAGCACTGACCCCCCTGTATCCATGCTTCTAATAATCTCAAAGAGCTCCTGCAGCTTAGTATAGTCTCCATGAATCAGAAACAATCTCCAAGACAGATTCTCTGCTGTATTCATTAACCCACATCTGAACACCACAGTTACTATGAAGCTTGAAGCTCTGCAGCTCATGTGTACCACTGCCTGCTTGCTCAGCAAGCTGAGAACAGCTCAGGCTATCCCCCACTGCTCACTTAAAGCTGAATGCTCCATTGTCTGCACCTTCAGCAGACAGTCCAAGTACTGTGCAGCACTCCCAATGATGATCTGTCCACCAAATGCCAGACTCCACCTTCTTGTGTATCATCATGTAGAGTCAGTCATTGGTGACAGTCAATCGAGGGCTGACTGGTTCTCCTTAGCTAGTCACGTTCATTAGGCACACAGTGCTAACTGAATCACAAAAGAAACCAGAACTACTGTCACAGGAGGCTTTGGGGGAAGTTTCTACAGCATTTAGAGGCTCACTTGGCCAGCTGAGGTACACATTAGTGCTTCCCACATAATCGAGGTGTAGATAAGTTCAACCTAATAACTAGAGTAGTAAATGCAACAGGATCAGATCAAATGTTGAAGTTCTTCTCTTATCAGAAAAGGTATGAGCTCTCAAACAGCTTCCTCCTGAGTATACTGCAAACCATTGGAAACTGATGCACAGAAAGGAACAAGCAGCAAGAACACTGATGCAAAAAGGAACAGGTTTTCTTCCCCTAGACAGGCATGATTAATAAAGATGCACACACCTGACACCTACTTGGGGTTTTACAATCAGTTACACACAGAAAATCATTTCCAAATTCAACAGAATAACCACTTTGTTTTAATGATGGGAACCCATTAAGAATCTGGTTATGCACTGAACTGTCTTGCCTTGGAGGTGTATTCATTCAGCCCAGAGACAAGTGCCACAGGTGGGATGTTCACCAGCTCATGCTTGCCATCTCACACAGCAGGAACATCAAGTGCAGTGACACAGCCAGCTCAGCAAGATGCTGCGCTCCATTAAGCTCTTGATACCTGAAGCTATCAACGGTAGAAATTAACTTCACAATCCACCAAGGTTCTCAGGTATCTGCCAGTCACCGTTTCCACTTTCTACTCCTTCCTAAGCACCATCTGTGGAAGTTTAACATTCAAACCTCTGCCTGTCATTTGCATTTCATCTTACATATCTACAGAAATGCAATTTGAGCCATGGCTACAACAGCAAACACCCCAGTCACTGGCCAGTAACGCAGCCCTGCATCTGCTTCCTCCCTTCCCTTCTCTACTTGCCTTACCACTGCTCGTGGGCTCTCATCCGACCCCATGTGAGCTCATTAAATACCAGGAGAAGCAGCAGAGCCCTCAGATCAGTTTACTTCTATTAGCAAACCACATCCTCCTACTTGAAACAGAAACTCCAGCTGCCTACAGTGCTAATTAAGATAGGACAGACATGGGAAAGAAACACTAAAGAAGCCTGTACAGTTTGATTAGAAGCAGCAAGACTAATTTTGG